AGAGGAGGCCTCCTTCAACTCATATCGGTGGAGCCGTGAGCGCTGTCGCGACGAGAGCCAGTCGGACTTCGCGCTCGTTCCGGCCTTAAGGAACTTGACGATAGGCGCGACAGCCTCATCGTCCCGATACGCCATGCGTATCCGATCATATAGATCCGTTGTCACCCGCGTGATGTGGGCCAACTCATAGTCGGGACGCCTAGAAAGGGCGTCCGCAAGCACGTTGAGCTTGCCCGGCTTGTACTCGACGCGGAAGTTATATTCCGCGAAGAAGGACAGCCACCTCGCCATCCGTTGGGAGAGGTGAGGCGAGTTAGTCGCCGTCCTCAAGGACGCGTGGTCTGTGTAGATCACAAAGGGCGTAGAGCCCAGAAGGTGAACACGGAACTTCACAAGGGCATATTTCATTGCCAGGAGCTCCTTGTCATGGACAGGGTAGTTCCGCTCGGCGGCTTTGAGCTGCCTGGACTGGAATGAGATGACTCGTTCCTGTCCAGCCGTGTCGTCCTGCAGCAATGCACACCCGATGGCGTAATCGGAGGCATCGCAGACGACGCTAAACGGCTTCGTCTCGTCCGGCAGAGCCAGGACAGGGGCCTCTTGGAGACTGGCCTTGATGCTGTCAAAAGCATCCTGGTGCTCTTGCTCCCAGCGCCAGTCGACGTCCTTCTGAAGGAGGCTCGACAAAGGCTTAGCGAAGCCCGCGTACCCAGCGCTGTACTTGTGAAGGTAGTTGGCCAAACCCAACCACTTTCGAAGATCCTTCTGGGATCGGGGCGTCGGCCATGCTGCTATGGCCTTGACCTTGTCTGGGTCAGCCCGAACGCCCACGTTGCTTACGAAGCAACCGAGAACTTTGATCTCTGGTGACGCGAAAACGCACTTGTCGATGTTGGCGTAGAGCTTGTTCGCTCGCATCACGTCCAACACTCGACGGAGGTGTCCTAGATGCACCTCCATGGCCGTCTTGCCTCCCTCGGCACGGCTATGGACGAAAATGTCGTCGAAGTACGTCTGTACGAAGGTACGCAAAGGGCGGAACAATTGCGTCACCAGGCGAATGAACGTCGCCGGGGCGTTAGACAAGCCCTGCGGCATGACGAGCCACTCCCAAAGCATGCCGCTTGGAGTGCTTACCGCGGTGAGCGGGATGTCACTCTCTCGCATCAGGATTTGGTAGTATCCGTCTACCAAATCCAGCGCAGTGTACAGTACGCTCCCGGCCATGTTGTTCAACAACACATCCTTTCGTGGGATCGGTGTTTGGGCCGGCACCGTTGCGTTGTTCAGCTTGCTATAAGCGTGAACCAGACGCCACTTTCCGTTCGGCTTACGAACGCAGAAAGTCGGCGTCGAGTGCGGGGATTTCGACTCCCGCACCATGCCTGCCTTCGCTTTCGCGGCGAAGAAGGCATCAATGACCTCGCACTGTTCGCGCGGGAGAGGCCATTGCCTCGTGACACAATACTTTGTGCCGGGCACGAGATCAATCTCGTGCCGTACGCCTCGATCCGGTGGGAGTTGGGTCGGTGGGTGTTTATTCACCACGTCCGCATACTCCGTCACCAAAGGATACACCGGATCCTTGGGGTTCTTGAGAATCTCAGAACCCAAGCGCGCCTGACGCTGCTTGTTCATGTCTTCCAGGACGTTCTCGTCCAAGACAGAGGAGGAGTTCAGCTCCTCCTGAGTGGTCTCAGGTCTTATGAGTACCATCTCAGCGATCTCTCCAGCCTTGAGGTTGGCCAGGAAAGACTCAGCCGTCATTTCCTCGAGGTTCAGTATCTCTGCAACCTCTGGCAACTGTTCCAAGTGGACACCAGATGCCTTGACGGGTAAACCCGTCTCGCTATCGAAGATGTGATAGCACTCTTCCACCGGCCTTGTCGGAGGAGCCCGGGCCCTGGACTCCGAGTCGCTTGAAGCGACGTCGATCGGAACGAAGTTCGGATCCGACTTAAGGCGGCGGCGGCGTCTTTGCCGACGGCTTCTGTGACGGGGAGCTTTGCTGCCCACGTCTAGGGATGTCGTCGCTACGACATCCGAGGCACTCGTGGCCTCGTGTGGTACTGTTGTACCCACACAGGAAGCGTGTTCAACGCCTTCCTCTTCAGTTAAGGTCTGGGCGACCGCGTGTGGCACTGTGTTACCCACACAGGAAGCGTATCCGACGTCTTCCTCTTCAGTTATGGTCTGGGCGACCGTGAGTGGAACTCTGTTACCCACTCTGAACACGCTGTTCTCAGTGTTCATGACAGCTGCAGCTGTCTGCCGAACTAAGTTACCCGCCTGTGGACATAAAGTTACTCACTTGGCCGGCGCCTCTTCTGGGCGCGGCCACCATCAAAAACATCCTCGGAGTCGTCATATACGTCGACGACTCCCAAGCATCTGCCGGATGCTTTGGTACCCTGGCAGCCCTCGCGGGCGCCCCGGGTCCTGACAGAGGTGGGAACATGACTCACCAATGCTCTGTCGGACTGCGCAGGGCGGCTGGCACCGATTGCCTTGCCTCGCCAGTCGATCCAGGGCTCGTGCTTCTCAAGCCAGGGCATGCCCAGGATCATATCATATGGATCCATATCGAGAACAGTGAACTGTTCGAGGCTGTCAAAGTCTTCAAACTTGACAGCCAGATCCACTTGGACGTTGGGGACAGTGACGACCTTCCCGTCGGCCAGTCGCACTGACACCGTCCCGTTGCCCTTGCTTTCTCGCAAAGCTTCGGACAACTTGTTGCTGTTACGAGCAACCGTCTGGCGGCGTGCGAAATTCTTCGACGCCCCAGAGTCAATCAAGATTCTAAAGGGGTGATCGTACCCCCGTACACATCCGTGTACTACGAGCAACCCGCCGCTGCTCTTCGCCGATTCGAGAGTGCGAAGACTCTCAGGGGCTAAGTCCCCGTGGTACGCGCCACCCGCGCACCCATCACGAAGACTTAGTTCTTCCCCAGTAGGGCGCCCCGCCCCTACTGGTTCCCTGCGTTCCCCTGTCCCCGGGATCCTGGCTTCTGCCAGCGACCCTTGAGGACGGGCTTGGGGAAGGACCGTCTGCGGAGTCTTTCCGCGGGACAGTCGCGCTTGAAGTGGCCCATCTTCCCACAGCCGAAGCAGCGGATGTCACGCTGTTCGGCGGACCCGAGTTCCATGGGAACTGGTCCGTTGGGGCTTGTTCGACCGGGAGCCGACAAGGAACTCCCAGGCCACGCTGAGGCCGGCGTACGCGCCTGGCGATGACTGTATTCTTCTTGAAGAGCCACTTGAATCGCCTCTTCAAGGGTGCTTGCCTGCACCCGGAACAGCTGAGTGCGTGCGGGGCCCACTCGAAGGCCGTCCATGAACACAGTCATCTTGATGTGTTCATTGAGTGGGTTTCCCACTAGGGACGCCGTGAGCTCCCGTATCTCTTGCACATACTCGTGCAGTTCGCGTCTTCCTTGTTTACACGCGAGGAAGCGCGAACGCTGGCGGTACTCGTAGTTCGCCGGGAGGAACGCGGCTCGGAGCTGTTCGCACAGCTGAGCCCAGGATGTGAAACATCCAGGGGATGTCGCTTCCCGAGTGTACACCCAACTCTTAGCACGACCGCTAAGGTTGGAGAGTGCAAAAGCAACACGCAGTTGCTCGGTCGAGATCAGAGCCGCGTCCATCGCGAGCTCTACTTCTCGGACCCAGAAGTGAAGGTTCTCGCCTTCCTTCCCTTCATACGGCTTTACCTTCAGCCGTATTGGCTTCGGGTGAGGCGGGTTTGCTTCCGCCGCCGGAGCCTGCAGGTTCTCCCGCACATGCGCGATGAGGCCCTGCTCGTACGCGTCGAATGCATTGACGCGCTCGAGCTGCTCAGCCGGTGTTGATACCACCAGGCTCTGCAGGGCCTCCATCCCGAAGATGCCTGCCATCTTCCGAACCGACTCGAACTGAGAGTCGTTCATATGGGAGAAGTCGTTCCTATCCATGGCAACGAACTTCGGAGGTTCAGGTAGTCTACCCGCGATGGCGTGGATTGACTACAAGTGCTACCAAGTGTGACGGGGTCACACAGCACCTTGCGCTAGAGGAAGTTATCTTCCGAGAGTATACAAACTCTCAGTGAACGGCAGTTCACAGGTCCCCTCTTTAATTAAAGGGAGCGAAGTGACCTAAATAAGGTAGATTGTAAACTGAGTATATTTATAGGTAGGTTAAGTTTGTGGTTAATACAAACTATCAGTTACCTATAGAAATGCAATGTCATTTAACCAATGGTTGGTTTTGAATGACCTTGGTACCTTGTACCAAATATCCCGGAGTATGACATGTCATACTCCTGAAGTGTGAAGTGTCACACTTCATGTAACCAGGGTACACTTAGTGCTACGTACCCCGTTACATCATCAGACGCTTGAATTGGCTGTAGTACGATGCCGAAAATACATTTTTTTCGTATAATTTGTCAAGGATTGACTTCATTTCCGTTTTTATCAGTGGAGAATCATCACCAATGTTTTTTGCACCTTCGAGCATCTTTAGACGCTTGACCAAACCATCCAAAAGTTGATTATACGCACTTTCGAACCCGCGTGAAGTAATTTTGCATTTGTTTAAGCAGTATTTCATAAAGTCGCGCTCAGGCTCATCGAGATGGTCAAACAAAGCCTTGTCAAAGCTTTTATCCTCTTCGATCATTCGCCAGAGATCAACGAATGCATGAGATACTAGCATTGTTTTCATATTAACTTGAGATTTGTCGCTTCTTAAGCAACCTTGGAGTCCATGAAATTCCACATGGAATGGACCGGCTTTTCGGTATGGTCTCTTCTGTTTTTGCTCCATGATTGCTTTGTATGTTATATCAAATAAATTATTTCTCAAAGATGTCAATCTCAAGCGTCTTGTCGCTGCCAATAGGTGTGAAAGCACCATGGAATATACGCTCCCGACGGTCTTTAGGTCTGCTCACGGGCTTTGCAGAAGCGGCTGTAGCGGGATTTGCAGGAGGGGCTGTAGCGGGCTTTGATTGCTGCTCGGGAGCGTGGTCGTACGAATCGTCTGGTTCAAATGATACTTCGGAAGCATTTGCTCGGTTTGCAATCTTGTTGTAGCTCGTGTTAGCAGCCATGGTGCTGTGTAGTAGTTTGGCGTGTAGATCGTTCTTCTCGCGATTGGTAAGTTTAGCATAAGCTGGCGATTGGATCAAATGAGACTCAGCAATGTGCCGGATCATATTCATCGACATTGGCTTTCCATTGTACTTCACGAAAAGCTTCGATAGAACCTGACTAAAACTATTGCTTGAATTCGTATAATCATACTCACCTGGCTGTCGATTGAAAATGCGCCATAGTAGCTTACTAGGCCGCTCTCCAAGCGTATTAGCCAAGAAGCCGAGGTAGGACTTAATCAAGCGCATCGTGGTGCTATCCAACTGAATCGTTTGTGGTCCCATGAGACGAACATTCTTGAAATCATTGAGATGTAAAACGTCTCCTTGGAGGTAATTTGAATCTTTTTCTGGACTGAGAAGAACGCTCGGCCATACCAAACGAAGTGGATAATGCACGTTTAGCCACAACGTGATATAATCAAATACAAGCTTTAAGTAATCAGATCTCTTTGGTTTGGCTAGCTCTTCAAACTCGGCTCGAGATAGAAATACTTTACCATACGTGTCGGTGAGCACCTTTGCAACTTTACCTGGGACGGACATTAGCTCTTCATAGCTGATATACTTTTTCTCTTCCTCTGGCGTTAGTTCGTTGTCCAGCTTTTCAGCTTTGCTTTGCTTACTAAGTTCCTTTCGAATCGTATTATAGTATGCAAATGTATCACGAAATCTGTTCTTGACCATTTTGCACATAACATTCAATGTTAAAATGAGACTTTCTTTGCTTGTATAGATGCTCATCAGAAGCGCAATGATGCTTGAGTTTTGAACCTTAAACGTCTTTTGAAAAGAAGCATCGTCGTATTTGTTTGGAGAGTGAATATTGGAAATGAACTCATTCGACGACCATTGCTGTTTCGCAACGCCGGCCTTGTAAAGCTTGATCAGTTGTCTGGTGTATAGATTTACCGTAGTGTCGGACAAATTATCATACTCGCTTCCCATTCTGATATCACGAGTGATAATATTTTTAATTTCATCCAGACTGGGTGTTTTGGATTTATTAACCTTTGACATTTTTGTCTCTCGCTCTGTATATAAGTAATCCAGATATTCAATTTAGATGTACAAGGAATTTGCCGTCGATTTGAGTCATGCGCAGGCTGTCAAAGTCCTGCATGGCAAACCCGTTCGTTTGAGCCACTCCCAGTTGAACAAAGGTCATTCGCATTATTTCCATCCTGAGAATTACAAGAAACTTGTAAAAGCGTATGAATCTGGAAAAGGAACAACATTACATATGTCTCATGGCGAAGTTCTACGTACTCATCAATCAGGCCTTAGTGGCTCTGGCTTCTGGGGTAATCTCTGGAGAATGGTATCAAGAAAGGTGCTAGCGCTGCATGGACTTTCCTCAAGTCAAATTGGAAGCCAATCACTTCCGGCCTTCTGGACGGCATTGCTACCGCGGCTGGACCTGAAGCTGCTCCATTGCGTGGATTGGTGAAAGACGTTAGTGGAGTTGGAATGGCTCCTCCCATGACTCGTCGTCGTATTAAGGGCGGGAGCTTTCGATTGGGATAACTTTAGTTATGGTTGATCTTGATGTATGATTTCTTTAGGTATATATAACTATTGTCATGATTGGATCAATTTATAAAATCGTTTGTAGTCAAAGTGAAATTTGCTACATTGGTTCTACTTTTAACTTACTAAAACATCGTATGATTGGACATCGGTCTCAATTTAAACGATGGGATGAAGGCAAAACAACAAGCGAATTTGCAATCTATCCATACTTTCGAAAGTATGGTCCATACGAATTCAAGATTATGTTGATCAAGCAGTATGATGTTGCCGATAGGCATCAGCTGCACGCTTATGAAACTCTATGGATCAATAAATTCAAGAAAACTTGCGTGAATAAGGTTCCTCCGTTTGCACCACTGAAGCAGCGTATGCAGAAAGAGACTGTGAAAAGGTATTGGAAAGCCAATAGAGAAGAGATAAATGAAAAAAACAAGCAATACAACGAGCTTCATAGAGACAGACTTGTTGAGAAGGTTATCTGTGAATGCGGCGGTCATTATCAATATAGAGGCAGATCGTATCACTTCAAATCTCAAAAGCATATCAGATGGATGGAAGCTCAACATGAGCGTTGAGTTTCCAAGATTTTTTTTCATACATCGCATCTTTAAAAAAATGGTGATCCTAACTCGATTGATTACTGTTTATCATCGAACAAGTCAGTTCGTCGAGTGTGTTTGATAATCATTTCTCTGAGAGAATCAACAGATAGGTCGTATCCTCTTCGACGCACTCGATCGACTTGCTTTTTATAGTTAGATCCAAGAATCTTAGTCAAGGTCTTTGAGAAACGATCTCGTGTATATGATGATGTGTCTCTTGATTCCTCGATCATCCACTGGGTAAATTTTGTGAGCATATCATCAATGGATACGAACTCTAAAGTACTTGGTGTTTGATTTAACTGAGCAGTGCTGAAAATACTGCTACTGGTTCCATTCGCTACACATTCAATAAGCCATTGAATCGGTTTTTCAATAGCCGATTTTTGCATATCAGACTTCTCTTTAGTCATTCTGAGGATGAAATCCATCTAAGTCAATATTCATAAGGTAGTGATACAAATGAATACCACTATCGGTATTATCAAACTCGTTAAGAATTGCCTTGAAATATGCTGTATCTCCAAGTCGATCACTCTTACACAGCAAATATAGGAAGCGACGCATTTGTTTTGACGCTTTCACGCTGTATGAATTGTTGGATGCGATGAACAAATTGTTGCAATCCTTTATTCGGTATGGTTCGATGCCTTTTTTTTCTATCATGCATGTAGGTTCCGTTGTACAGTCTTTGAGCTCGTCTTGGTCTTCATGCGAAGATTGCTTGACATTAGCCGCTTCGTTCAAAACGGTCAAAATCTTGTGCTCGCGAGCCGAGTTGAATCGACCAGTTAGAATTTTCATTTTTGGTGTCTCGAGACAATAGCGTGTCCCGATGACATGATTTTTCAAAATCTCAAACGCAATATTCTTAGCACAACCTTCCTCTCCTTCCAGAACTACTATAGCTCCCGACTTTTCATACGGTCGTTGAACATGCCACGCAAATAGCTTCATGATGTGATTAGTCAAATCATCACGACCACTACACCAAATCTGTTTGATATGATCTTTTAAGAGTCTAAACTTCGATTCATCGACAATAAATTCAGGATCATATGCATGAACGAACCCATTAAATTTATTAAACACTTCGTTAGAGTTCCAATCAAAAGTGTTCGATTGCGAGTCGCATGCTCCTGTCTTGGCGTTATACGGGATGAAATCTACTTTTCCGTACGTGATATCATCACGATAGTGGTAGATTACATCGCGTAATGGCAAACGCATATGTATCAAATTCTGTGTTATCCACTTTGATAAGTCCATCCTCATCTAATTCAATAGCATTGTTGATGTCAAACATCATATCGAACTGCTTGATGTTGGAAACAACTACGTAATCAATTTCTCCGAATGCGTCCCGATTCTTAGTCAATTTGTATCCGTTTCCACCTTGCAAGATGTAAGCAATGTTGTTCTTGATAAACTTGTAGAGTTTCTCCATTGCAACAGCTCCTTTCTTTAGATTGATAACATCCAGATACGTTTCTGTGTTCTTACAATCGAAGATTGGCGGCAATTCTCGATAATGAGGAACGAAAAGCTCTTCATCTTTCTTATCTTTCTTTTCCTTGATCTCCTTTGGTTCATATTCTGCTTTCCACTTGTTGTATTCAATTGGATTAGTTCCACCAGCAATAGATTTGATATGAGCCTCAGTTAGCTTTGGATGGTATTTGGATGTTTCCCAGTCATTGAACACTTTCAACGCAGCGACTTGATCAAACCGCTCTGTCATTGTCTGTAGAATACACAGATAAGTTTTACGCATCAGACCAAGATCGACGTGTTGTTTCTTGTATAGCATGCCAGCCAAGTTCCACGTGTTGTTGTTATTGCAGAACCAATCTCTCTTCACCATGCAACATAGCTTATACAGACGCTGATCGTAGTTCTTCTTTGAAACACAGTATTGAGCAACATTCAGCTCGTCAATCATGATTGGTATGTTGATCATCATCTGTTCGCTCTTACAATAGAAATGTCTTAGCGTTTTGTTGCCTTTTTGAATGTAAAAGCAATAGCGATATCCACCAAAGTACGCATTGCTGTCAATCATTTCCGATCCTTTAATATCCAAGTTCTTGCTGGCAATGTATTCGTTAAACGCTCCAATAACATCCATGGGGTCTAAGGAATTTTCTTTTACGTCGAACTGCTTTACTTTGCCCGTTTCAATGTACTGCTCGAAGAAGAACTCGTTTTCCGCTTCTGCGATCTCTTCTGTGTGATCATTTAAATTATTTAATTCTGATTCCGAACTTTGATCCTCATTATATACCACACTATCCGCGATCACCGGTGCGATAATCGACTCATCCAATTCTGGAACTTTGCTTACAACGATATTCGAGACCTCGACGGGCTTGATCACCGATGGGGTTGGTGTATGAACAACCTCAGCAATAGCTGGGGTATTCGGTTGAGGCGACATTTCTTCTATTATATTAGTCTCTACGACAATAATTTCCTCTTGATCAATATTGATCGCGTGCTTGCCGCATCGTTCTTTGTTGCGAGCAAGCTTACACTGCTCCCCGTTGCTTTTAATGAAGTTGCACATTTTTAGTATCTGTACGACTATGGTTATGTTTTGTATATTCTATATATTCTTCGCTTAAGATGGACTCATAATTTTCTATGACGTCTGACTACTACAGTCCAGTAGTATATGCAGATTAGCAGACTCATCTTTTTTTTATGAATGTCGTACTCAGGAATTGTCAGTAGCCTACGCGTTATAGTGTCATTTCTAAATATTGTATGAGTACGACACATTATCGAAGTGTCCATGTGTGAATTATTTTGTATCCTTTATCGAAACAGGGGGGTGTTGCTTTGTTTCGACACACTTAGATGCCGAGCTCATTGTTGTGATCGGCATTGTGTCCGGCTTGCGTCCAACAATTATGTCCATCTTTCTTTTCATTAGAAGCAACGATAGCAACTCTAGATCAATCTATATATCTCAGTGTCCAGGTGTCTATCTTTTTTTCAGTTTTATAAAGAATATTATAATAAGTAAAAGGGGGTATAGGGGGTAATGTAAAAAACATATAATTCTGAAATGGATTTTTTCCCACGCTGGACATGGCCAGTCCGCATTTATCTGAATTCATAACATTAGAAGTGTTTCATAACTGATATCGCTGCTTCTGATAACTAGACTAAAGGTGGTCACCTTTTTTTGTCGGTACAATACCGGTTTTACGCAGTCATGAATTCAGATTTTTTGGTCCAATCCGATCATGATTTCATGGAATCTCATGCCATGGTCCGTGGTCATTAAATGTGAGTTTGGCCACCGAAGATGTCACATTCGTTGTGACACCACTTTTTTCATGACTGAGATGTGCCATTAATTTATGAACTCATCAATTCGCACTACTCGCTAACTACGTTCTTGAACTCATGAACCAAAAGACCTGAGCAGCCTTGCGCTAGTCCGCTTCTCGCAATGTTGTCCAGAGACTCCTCCACATCGGTCAAACGATCCTTGATGACTTTCTTGCGGTCAAGCTCTTCGCGGAGTGCATTGACTGTTTCCTGGTGGATACCAACAAGACATCCATCCTTGATGAGAAGTGCTGCACCAGAATCTCCAGCGTAGGTTTCGCAATTATACGTGATGTGCCGTTTGTGACGCGTGACGCAGACGCCGAATGCCGGAGCAAATCCCAGTTGATCATTGGTCGAATCGTATTCTGCAATCCCGAGTCGAAACGATGCCAACACAAGACGGCGTCCTCTCAGGTGATCCGGATTTCCATTCCACGGAGGAACAAATGATCTCGGAGAAGACGACTTCAGGATCGCGAAGTCCAGCTCAGAATTGCGAGCAACAACTACAACATTTGCCATCTCGTCCTTCAACGCCAAAGACACCACGCTTCCCACAGTGTATTCCTCCGTTAAATTGTGGTCGCATGTCACCGCTAGCGTCGGGCTGAAAAACACACCCATTCCAACACCCTTGAACACACCCATTCCAACGCCGTTGTCGTCTTCTTCCACGATCACAAATACTGCCGTTTCGACTTGCTCTTGTACATGGAGGGAGATAAAATAGTCAGAATCCTCAACTGCGCGCTGCGGCACTTGCACGACGAGCGCATCCTTCTTTGTAGCACCATACGACCCAATGGGTGAATCTTCCTCCAACGCCTTCTTCCCCTCCTGCGTCACTGCGAACACTGTGAGGTCGGACGCAGCAATCCCGGCGAGGTGACTGTCCTTGTACTTCTCCTTCACCGCATCCCGCAAAGTATCCACATCCTCAACATCCACGGCAACAGAAGTCGCCGACGTCACCGCGTTCCCATCTTCGCCCACGAGCTGGAACCATTTCCGCGCCATCCTTGAATCTCACACGGCAACTTCGAGAATGAACTCTAGTGAAATAACCTCGGCTGAGGTTTAGCGTTCTGCTAGCGGACGGAGCGTATCGTCTATGTTTCGTCGTCCGCTCTTCCCACCCCTAATAAGGCATCGAGCGTACCCCTAGACACCCTCAGAGACAGCGATGATGTACCATGTAGTACACATTGTGTGTATGGCCCTGAGCTCAGAAATGCCCTGGTACTGTACAATACATGTACAGTATTAATAGTGCAAGGCATTTGTGAAAACATGTGCGTATATTAAAGTACACGGTGTACCGGTACATGTCGAATACAGTACAGTACTGCACCCCGTTGCGCCCTTGGACCTTTGATAAATTGCCGGATATGATGATATCCATAAAAATTAAAAATACTTTTGTTTCTTTGCCAAACTCTGCTTTATTTGCAAATCCTATATAGTCCACATCCGCGAAAACGGGGTGCAGTCCTGTACATGGATTAATACCACATGGAAGTTTAGCCCTGCCCTCCGGAGCCTTTTTACTCGGGGCGAGCTCTGCATCATCCTCCGGACCCAGGGTATTAATACCTGAGGAACTTCGAGTCGAAGTACATGTAGCTGTAGTCAAGCGCTACAATAGTGGAGCTCGTGACACGTCCCGTACATGTATCCCAAGGTACCTCGAGAGTCTGCTACGAGAGGCAAGCTGCTTGCCGCAAGTGCTGCTTGACATTGCTACTAGCACTGCTAAGCAGGCTGGCACTCTCACGTCGTGAGAGTGGCCGCATTCCGTTCCGATTTGGAACTTCTGAAGCTGTACATGTACTGCAGCCGGCATTGATTTTGATGGAGAAGTGCAGTGCGAAGCACCAAGCATCACATTTTGCTGTCGCGGGAGCCTCGGACCCAAGTCACAGTGAAGTTCACTCGCTTCCTTCCAGGCTGGAACAGGCGTCCGTAACGGAGTCCGTTAGCTCACCACGGCAATCGCTCTGGCTGTGACCGTGCAGCCGGCACCGAAGACGGGCGCCAGATACGTGCGGCGTAGAGACAGGAGGCGCTATAATTTGCGCCGCGCCTGCAGCTCCACCAACTTCACATTTTTAGCGAGCAAGGACTTCGTCACTGTATTTTGAAGCTTTCGTCACGGAGTTTTTTTTAAGTACATATACATGTACCCGATCAACTCGCTGGAAAGCCGCCATCACGATTGCTAGGTCCACTAGCAACAGTCGCGGTATTGCGGTCACTTCAGTTCACTATCAAGTCAGCATCGCCAGTACTGTACGAGGGTAGGCCAACACAGCCTACACAAATAAATGGCGACGATCGCTATTACGCTGGGAGCATCGGCTAAATCGCTTCTCAATGGACGCGCGCCACCATTAATACGGACGAGCATCTTGCTCGGAGAGTGCTGTAAGTTACAGCGTAACAGCACTGCTGTTGCCGACACAGTATGTATGCCACATACATCGGGTGACGGCGCTATGCGTCACTTGCCTGAGCCAGCTGGCTAGGCAGTCACAAGGCAGCAGTTGGAGGCGTTATCATATTTGCAGTGGGGGCTGCTGAGGTTGTATTAGCCTTTTTAATAGCAGATTCTAAATTAGCCGCTATAGAAGTGTAGCTCAAAATAAGAGCAGGTCGTCTTCGCTGTCTTATGAAATATTTCGCCGATTTTATTAAAAAAAAACTAGCTATTAATATATTGAAATTTATGCGACGTAAATTTTGGAATATGTCTGCTCCAAGTGGCTCTAGCCCGCGACGCAAGACGCCTCCGAAGCTCGCTACTTCATGTGCTGCAATTGCCACAACCTCCAGCGTAGAGGAAGAACTCGGCGGGAAAGTCCTTTGTCGATGGAGTCCTAAGACCGAAGGGCCAGAGTTGTTGGTAATGCAGGGAGATCTTACTTGTTGCAAGGCCGACGCCATCGTCAACGCCGCAAATACTCGTTTGATGCATGGAGGGGGCCTGGCTGGAGCTATTGTACGTAGTGGGGGCTCGTCCATTCAGCAAGAGAGCAGCAAATGGGTCAAAGACCACGGACCATTGACAGTCGGAGACGCCGTTACTACTGCGGCTGGCAAGCTTACCTGCCAGCATGTGATCCACACTGTAGGACCCAATGTGGGGAGCGAGACTTTGACGTCGGAGCATGCGACACAGCTCCGTCATGCAGTGTGGAGTGCGTTACTGGAGGCAGACCGACTGAAAGTGAAATCTGTGGCGGTCCCTGGGATATCAACAGGAATATTCGGATACCCGAGAGATTTGGGGGCTAAGGAGATTGTAACGGAAGCAGCTAAATTCTGCAAGGAGAAAGCGGGCTCGACAGCGTTGAAGAGGATTGCGTTGATGAATATTGATGACCCGACGGTGAAGAGCTTCGTGAAGGCGGTGACCGATGAGATGGAGGAGAGTGGGAAGAGACATAAGGATCTTAGCGAGGCGCTAGCGGGACTCAAAATTCGCGAGTAAGAAAGAAATGGCTGAGTATTATCGTATTGTCGTTGTATCTGTTTCGAGTCGAGGAGGAAAACAAACGTACTACCTTCTAGCTCTTTGCCGGAATTCCTAAAACTCCGCGATGATAAGTCCAGAGGATTGCTGAAGTTAAAAATATCTATGCAAATTCCGGATAACCCAAAAATAAATGTATATTTCGAGATCAGTGGACCGTCCATTACTCAAATACCTACATTTCTCTAAAAAATCACTATTACGGACTTTTTGTTGCTGTTGTGCATATGGAAGATGGGCCACGTAAAATTCTTTTTATCAGTCACGAATGGTTAGGCACTGTGGGCGCTTTCGTCTTTGAAAGTCTCATGTCCACCTTTTTACAACTAACATGGTTGCGGCCGTAATCATGGATCATGGATCTCAGGCCCATGTTTTAGGCTTCTGAAGAGCTTAATCTGCTTTTGGTGGTGAAGGAAGTTGAAACAAAAACAAAGTGAGAGCTTGCCAACCAGCACACTAATACCGTAACCCCGATAAGTTTCACTGTATTGCAGCTGATAGAAAAAAAGTTCTGTATTATTAAAATCATGAAATATAATTTCATGTTGCAGTACCTGCATGGAGTCAGATACTGTGCCATGTACAATTATCGGTGTGAGCACGGCCAACAACAACTCGGTTAGCACAAAGATTATGAGCCTAAAGCTTGCCCATGATAAGATAATTTGTACGAAATCTGATGTTCACTAACAAATCAATTATGTACGTGTGGTGAATAGCTCGTATGTTCGATGAGATAATTCTGTCTTGACCAAGATAATTTACTACAATTATAAGTACACGACTAAAAAAATAGCGGTGGAGGGGCTACTCGAATTTAAATTATTAAAAAAATGTCTAACTTTGAGCTATTAGAGGGCCAATTGTTTTTGAAAATACAGTTAGTTGATTGCGGTTTTGGAGCGCCGTCCTTACAATAAAAAATGCAGAGTTTTGGCACATAATCAATCGACTTGAGTACATTGAACTCTCCAAAAAGCGTAATTGTATATGAACCAGAGTCTGGTTCAGTTTTGCTACAGCGACATCATAATCTCCGTGGGAATTCGCAGTTTTCATTGACCTTGGTCGCCGCTGATACAGTAAATCTAAAGAGTATTCTTACGTACAGACGCTACTGTCTGCAACTGATCACTGACTGCCTTTACAGTTTTCCCGTTTTGGACGCTTTTTCGCCCTTCTCACCAATATTGCCTGCTAACACTTCTGTATGCAGACATCTGCGATCATGACTCTCTATTGGCAGATAAAGCAGCGTGCAAGACTTTAGAGATTAAAGGCTGTGAAATTCGATTCGTACGGAGGTCTTGATTCACCGAAGCTGTGCGTTCTTTTTTATTTTCAAAAGTGTATGGGAAATGATATTGAAATGTGAGCCTACGATTACAGTAGCGGTACAAGATCATACTGAAGGATTTGAATGTAGTGGTCCAATTTGCCAGCACGTAGCAACATTTCTGTACGGCGGACACTTAATCAACTGAGCTCCAAGGAAACGCCTCGTAGCTATCATTGAACTTCACTTTCCGAATTCCTTCCCCACCAACAGCTCAGCACCAAAGTATGCGATCACACTTCTTGGTCATGGTCACTGCGGCCTTGTTCACCAATTACGAGGCAGTAGTAAGAGCTTCGAACACACGCGATCCTCGCGTTATCAAAAAAGATAATGTGAGCGATTGAGCCATAGACCAATCGATTTCTGCGTGAGAGCGACGTTCGCGACGACAGCGGAGACGAAGACAGGAGTATTAAATCCCTTCTCAAATACATCGGATTGAAGCGCATTGACTTTAGCATCGCACAACAGGAGGCAGATTTCAATGCAGCAATCAATGGGATTACGAACAATTCTGAAGACGGAAGAACGAATTTGATTCATGGGACGTTCAAATACCAAGGTAAGGAAAGACCCATAGCGTAGCAAAACGTGGGATAGGACGCGCTAGAGACCGATAGCTCAGCAAATGGAGCACACCTGAGTGGGGAGGAGCTGATTGCGTTTGAGTTTTGGGGGTTTTATTTCCACCCTCATTCTTTAAGCTGTAAAGATTGACCATGTTGTTTAGAAGTCTCAAAATTTGAAAACAATTTAAAATCGGTTTTATATTTGTACCGGTATTACACTAGTACCCCCGATTTGTAAAATACTGTTTTTATTTTGCATTCCGTATTTTATGTGGTCCACCCCAAACACGCACCAAGTCCGTCGCAAGTGGCAAAAGATGATCGGGGACTTCGAGTACCTGCAGCAGCGCGTGGCGCTCCGTGTGGATGTCATGCGGCGCCACGTCGCGGGGGTGGCCGAGGTGGTGCTGGCTCCCCGAGCCACTGAGCTGCGCGTCCTGCGGCTGCACGCGCGGCAACTCAAGGTGAAGAGCGTGCGCATTAACGACGTCGAGGCCAACTTCGAGCAACTTAACTTCCTAGACGAGATCGTGGACGAAAACTACCGCGACTTGGCTACATTCGACCTGTTCTACCGTGGCGCTATCGTCGCCTCAAAGGAGGGCGAGCTGATCATCGAAATTCCGAGAGACGTCACGTTCCTAGAAGACGAGGAGGACGACGAGGACTCGAGCAACTTAAGAGATCAACAAGTGGAAAAAGACGACGACGACGACGAAGAGACAGAAGTTGGTACTCATAAAGAACAAAAGTTGGTACTCGATGCCTGGGACGTCGATCGCCTGCCCAAAAGCTCCACAGGCTTCAAGCCTGTATTAGTTCGGGTCGAATACGAGCTCGACGAGCCCACCGGCGGCCTGCGGTTCGTCCTGCCGGACGAGCAGTACCAACCCAAGCGAAGTCCACACATGTACACTTATTGTGGGCCATTTGGTGGTCTCTGTGACGGTGCACGGTCGTGGATGCCCTGTCGGGACACACTGCGAGACGCCTGTACCTTTAGGATCGAGCTTACAGTGCCCGACTGGTGTGTGGCAGTATGTAGTGGACAGATGGTGCAACAGCTTCTCAACCCTGAGACAGACGCCGACGGAGGACAGTGGAGGACGTTCCGGTACGTCGTGAACCCACAGACCAACTGCTCGTCGATTGGCTTCGCTGTGGGACCTTTCCGACTCTTTGTCCCGCCAGAAATGCCCCGGATGACGCACTTTGCGCTGCCCGAATGCTTCGAAGACCTCGTGCACTGCACGTCCAAGTTGGCTTCGACTATGTCGTACTTTGAAGGGACATTGGGGGCGTCGTACCCGTTCAAGACGTACCAGCAGGTGTTTGTGGAAGATCTGCCCGATCAGCTGCAATACGTCGCTGGAGGAGCCATTCTGGACCAGAATCTGCTGCATGGGCCTCGGATTATTGATCGAGAGCTGCCGTCGCACTTGGCGCAAGTGAAGGCGCTGGTCGGCAGCTGGATTGGCGGCGCCGTGGGCATTCAGAGCACGAAAGACGCGTGGGTGTTGATTGGAGTCATCGGCCATTTAGTCAACACGTACGTGCGGTCTATTTACGGGGAAGAAGAGTACGGCTACCGTATCCAACTGGCTATGGACGCACTGACGACGATGGAGCTGACGACAGATCAGCAGTCTCCGGCCTTACTGTCGTCGGAGGTGGATGTGTACTCGGAGTACGACCCGTTGTCGTTGACGCTGCTGGACGTCAAGGCGCCGCTGGTGGTGCATATGATTGAGCAGCGTGTAGGACCAAAACATCTAGGCATTGCGATCCAGCGTGCCGTGTCTGGAGGCGCTGGAGCAGCTGCGAGTAGTGCTGCCAATGGCGGCGACACTGGCGACAATAAGGAGGAAGAGAGTGGGAAGCAGACGGAAGACAAGAAGAGTGCAGACGAAGAACAAGACGCCAATGTCGAGTCTGCCAACGCGTCAGGCAAGCCAGCTAATGGAGCGACGGCAACGGAGCCGCTGACGACGCTGTCGTTTCTCAAGACTGTCAAGACGATCGCTGGAGCGGCAGGTCAAGACCTGACCAAGTCGTTCCTCACGTCGTGGATAATTGAGCCTGGTATGCCCTTCTTTACCGTCGGATACTGGTACAACCGGAAGCAGACACAAGCCGAAGTGGTGCTGCAACAGGAGATCCCTCCAGGGGGCAAGCTCTACACTGGGCCAATCACCATCACCATCGTCGAGGACACGAGCGAGTACACGTACCAGAAGCGCATCGAGCACAAGCGCCACAAATTCGACTTCCCGTGTCACTCGAAAGTCCGCAAGAAGCGACGAAGGCGTCAGGGACTCGCCGACCCGGACGACTCGGTGTCTGTGGGAGGCCCGGGCATGGGACTGAACGACACTCCCGTCTTCTGGGTCAAGATCGACACGGGCTGTGCGTGGCTACGACACGTGGTGATACACCAGCCAGACTTTAACTGGATGGAGCAGCTGCTGTCCGACAAGAAGGTGGGCTCGCGTGTGCATGCAGCTCGAGCGCTCGCGCTGTTCCATCGCCCGCACGAGAAGCCGAACGTCATGTCGTGTCGAGTTCTTACCGAGTGTATGAGTGGACTGACGACCCACTCGCGACGTCTACGCGCCGAGGCAGCGCAGTCTCTGGGCATCTGGCAGTCGATCCACGCGCCGCTCACGAACGCCAACACGCAGCTGCCTATCTGGAAGGCCATGCACAACCTGGTGCGTATTTTCAAGGAGCATTTCTTCGACCGCGCGACGGATATGCCTCTGCCCAACTACTTTTTGCCTTCCGGTGGCAAAGTGATCCTCGAGGCGCTGGGCGCGCAGCAGGCGTCGATCTCCAGCAAGCAGATCCAAGTGCAGGACTATGCCGAGGGCGAGTATGAAATCAAAAAGAGTATTCCTAAGGCGCTCGCGATGGTGCGCGCGCAGAACGGCAAGTCGCCCGCGGAGATCGAGACGTTTCTGCTGCAGCTGCTGACGGAGAACGACAACTCGAAGAACTATGTGGAGATGGACGACCAATCGCAGGTGGCCGACGACTGCTACTACCTCGGCAACATCGTCTTGTCGCTCTCGGTCTTGACGCTGGATCGACCTGCTCGCTCGGACGACGGCGACGCGGTGGTGCTCGAGATTCTGCGGTATCTGCACTACGACCAAGTGCAGCCGAGCTACAACAAGACGATCACGGTGTGCTGTCTCGAGGCCTTGTGCAACTTGGTGCTGGCTGGACGGTGCGACGAGAAGCTCGTGCACTTCCACGTGTTCGCGTCGCCCAAGCACTCGAATCTCGTGCGTAAAGCGGCGATCGAGAGCATCCTCCGCTTGTATTTCGCTGAAGACCCCAACGGTCCGAGTGCTGGAGACAGCAGTGTGTCGTCGATGGGCATGAACTACGCGGTCAGCTCGAGCTCCCAGCAGCAATCGAGTCGGAGAGGAGCCACGTCGCTGCTGACCAACAGTTATGGAGCCACGGCTGCGATGCTGTGGCTCTGCGAGCTGCTGAAGGCGGAACAGTCTCCTGGTATCCGCTTGTTTGCTGTCCAAGTGTGTCTGAACTGCATGCGTGGGTTCCCTCCAAGTGTGGGGAAGGAGGTGCTGGCGACGTGGGACCACAGCTACACTCTGGGGCTGATGAACTACATCGAGATGAAGGAGCCGACGGCGTTCGTACTGAAGAGTCCGGAGAAAGATAAGGTCTTGGGGCTCTTTGATCGCCCCAACTTGAGTAAACTGCGGGACGACAGCAGCTCGGCGAAGCGGATTGCGGAAAACCTGTGGAACTTGATGAACGCGACGGCAGCCATGGACCAGAGGCTGCGTGTGGCGCTCATTGTGCTGTATCGGAAGTTCTGGGGTGAGACGACGCCGATCGCTGTGGCTCATATTGTTCAGGACAAGCCTGCGAACTGGGCGGGGGGCTACGAGAGTCTGCGGTTGATGATGGAGGAGAGCAAGAACCGCATGCTCATGAACGGCGGACGGGCTGGCACCAACACGGACGCTAACGGACTCGGTAGGAAGTCGGACGACGATCGGAAACGAGGCTTCTCGTCGACGGCAAGCAGCCCAGCCGACGCAGCTCTGGAACAATTTCGCGGCAAGAAATTTAAGTTCAAAATGGGCGATACAACCTTCCGATCCCACAAGCTCTAAGCAGATATATTAACACTTGACCTGCATATTAAATGTGTGGGGATTGTCGTTTGTAGTGATGGGACTTACCGCAGGAGATGCTCTTATTATTAGTTCTTCCACTACTTTTTATCTTTAAAGTATGTACTGCAAAATTTGTTGAATAGTACATTATTTGTCATACTACGCAAATATCTCTCCGCGCGATTAATCGACTCATCAACGTCAGGAAAATGCCACGCACGACCGCCGAATGGATTACTTTGCTTATTGCCACCGCATGCAACCGAGCAACCTTCATCCAAGCATTAAATTGGATAATTAGTTCATTAACGTCGTTGGGGCCGGCACATGTTGGTTCATATCGACCTGGCAAGTACATTGGAGCCGCAGGGATAAAAATTAAGTAGTCCGGGGGTTAAATGTCTTGCCTTTCGTCTTCTTTTAGCTATCCCAATTTTTTCTATTTAATTGAACACACTTGAGTACCCTCCGTGAATTTTTGTCGATTCTCCAATTTTTTGTTTATTTAGGCCAGTTTTTGCGAGCACCCTAAGAAATTAAAAGTATCGATTTTTTGTCTGGCGCCTTGGCTCTTACATGTATTTTAGATGCACTTAGTTTTTGTAAAACCGTAAGCTATACCGTGATTCTAAATAAGTAATGAATTGGCATTGGTAAAATAAAAAGCTGAAAAATTCGGAGCAAAACAAATTACCGCTGTTATTGAACACAAATT